TCCGTAGAAACGACAGAGAGTCACGACTGTCGTCGCGTTGTTACGAGCAGTAATATGAACGTACGATTGACATTTTAGAGACACGCGACGTTAATGGGCGGTTAGCTAGCGGTGAGCGGAACGGGCGTTTAACTGTCAGAATAGCGAGATCAAATTGTTCCGCAAAATATTTGTCGTTCTCCATTCCGGAAAGATTTTCAAGATCTCATCAAATATATCTATTTGTCATTGTTATGTTTCATGTTTTTATAACAAACAAGTTATGTGTGTCTTAGAAAGAAATACAATTTATTAACAATTTTGTATCAATTCATTTCTTTTCGTTTTGTATGTGATATAATATGTATTTTCAATAATATAGTGATTGAATTCATGAAAAATTATATATATATATTTATTAATTTTATTTAGATACTTTTAGTAAATGTAAAAACATCATTAAACATTTTTGAGAATCTATGAAAAAGTTTCGCGGTGCGAGTCTAACGCGCTCCTTTTTGTCCAGTTTCTATTTTGGAAAAAGTAGACAAACATTTATCTTGTGCTGACGGTGCAACGCTGTAGGAAAAATTGACAGGCCCTTTTTTGTTTCAAACTCTCTCTATCCTATAAAATGCCGGACGCATTTATTGATTTGCTTACGAAGCCAATTATGGAATATAATAAAAGCATTACTCTCTAACTAGTCATTCTTCTGTAATTATAAAAAAAATAGAGAGCACTGTTATAAGAATATACTCACCGTCGACATTTCACGCTCCCCGATATTTCGCCGGCCATGTAATCTTCATAAAAATAGCGAAAATAAATTGCCATGGAAAATGAAGGGACGGAGAGCCCCGGCTATCATCGTTCATCATTAAAAATTTTATATTATGAGGTTTATACCGCGTGAGACTTCACGGAAATTACAGCGAACGTAGTGTCTTATCTGTAAATATTTCACCATGTTGAATTAGATATTAATCCTTAAGCTTATTCAATGCGGTTTGGAACTCGTAGGTTCTATAATAATAATGATAACACTACAAAGTACATTAATTGAGCACGCTATATGATATTTATTAAATTATATATATGTATAATGTGAAGATAGTAAACTACATTACGTTTGTATTTTAATTTTCTAAAATTTGAAATATTTATATTAATAATAAAAAGACTGATGAAAAATATATGAAATTATTCAGTTGATATAAAAGCGTAAATGGCGCAAGGGGCACAAATGTATTAAAATAATAATAAAAAACTCGCGTCACTAACGTTTGTAAACAAAAACTTTGATTTCATATTAACTAAAATTAAATTATAATTAAAATTATATTATTTTTATTTAAAAGTGAAAATGTAGCATTAACGATTTTTAATTAAAATGAGATGAAATATGCAAAATGTTATTTTAGAAAAATAATGAAAAGTACGCATACATTTTTCATTTACGCGAGGATAAATAAATTCATATATTGTTATCTGCATTATATATATATATATATATATATATATATATATATACTTCAATTGTTTCAAAATGGAAAATAATATTAAAAAAATATTAATATAAACATTGTTTTTCTGCACGATCGTACGAGACTTGGCCTTATTGTCGAGTTTCGAGCCGCGAATTTAAAGGCTACTTGCATAATTTGGAGCGCCCTCGGAACGATGGTGGCATATTTCACCTCTCGAGTGAATATCCCTTCTACCACTTTCCCCACGAATTATTGGTACTTTTGCGACACGGTACGTACGTGCAACTGGCTCATGGTTTGTGCTATATATATTTTACTCTGGCATATTAATTAACTCCGAAGCACATAGCCAGGGGTTTTTGCGCTAGTCGACTTGCGCAGTAAGAGACGTCGCGAAATTCACTTCAGCGATTATAAATGCGCTAAAATGAAACAAATAAAAAAGATAACGATCCTCTAGAGGGCCGCAAATGTAGGGGGTGCGAGAGCCGGATAAGCGATTTATTCTTCTCTTTACTTAAATATTTATTTCAAGTTTTAGCTGGAGAGATTTATATATGCGCACGTATATTTTAAATAATATATATTACAATAAATGATAACTGAACGCTTTTTATTGCTGTGATTGATAATTGTTTCGTATAATTTTGTTTTGTTTCGTATATAATCGCGATGAAATGCAAACGGTCAACAAACCATTTTCATCAATATAATCTGTCGGAGCGTATTTTTCGCTTTTCCTATATTCTTTCATCTACGAATGGAAATCAATAAATGCAATAATAATCGCGAATAATAATATATTTTCTTCATTATTTGTCAATATACAAATAATGAATTATATAAAAGTTTCCGGATATACAAATTTATATATGCTGCTTGATGTCTCATGTTCTTTTGGCATTAATTTCTTAATGCGTCAAAAGACAAATTTGACTACATTTCGAATGCATGTAACTATAATATATTATACAGTTGTTACAATTTCCGATATTTCCAATGAAATAAATATATTTGTCGATTAAACAAATAAAACGACACCAATACGATTGTTTTCCATTTGTGTATAGCGCGTAACGCGCGCACACGTCGGATATATACGTGTGTATGTTGTATCAAGAAGCGGTTGTCATCTGGCGATCCAATTTGTTGTTTTAACAAAATAAATTGCAAATTCGCGTAACGCGATTCTCTCGCCGAATCGACAGGGCTCGTCGTCTCTCGGTGTTGAACTGCAGTTTGAAAATTGAATAATGAATCGCGCGTTCTATTTTTTTTCGTTTTCAGCGTGGCACTTCAAGGTTAATTAAAAAGTGTAGCTATTTATTTAACTAGCTCACGTGTAACACTGCCCTTATACTTTGGATGTGTAATTATGTCATCCTGCTGGACAAATCGACCGTTTATGTTTAAAACTCTTTGACACCTGAATTTATCGCACTCGTCAGTGGAAGAGGTTTACGCCGGACGCGTCCTATAATCGGGACATCGAACGATTTTCGATTCGCGTCAACGGTTCGCGATTATGCAGGCAATTGTGATACGCGGCGCAAAAAAAGGGAGGGAGAGAACTAGTGGAAAATTTTTAACAGCGCGCACAGAACGAACGAAAATCCCATATCTCCCGGAGAGAGAGAGCAAATCTCGAAAATTCGTTCCACGGCGAGCAGAGACCGTAATACTCTGCCGCGTTGTCATCGCGGAAAGTAAAGAGAAATCCGACGTGTACTTAATAAGTTTTCGGTAATAACCGGAGAGCTTGGATCTCCGTGGTGAGACGCTTGACTTCGTCGACTTGCCACGTCAGTGCCCTTATTACCCACCTACTCTACTAAAGCCCTCCACTTGCGCGAGAGCGCGTAATCTTAATAACTGCCGTGATCCGGGCTCCGGGCAATTACTATCAAGCGGAATTTATTCGTGGTAGATTTTTTTAAATCGCGAAACGATAACTCTTTGATTTTGTTGGAATTACCGCGCTTGGAGGAGCGCGTTTAAAAAATCCAATCGTTAATCAAGTTTTTCGCACGTATTAAGCAAATAAAATAGTAATTCGTTTTAACTGCAAAATATTGCCGATAAGTACGCGTTTCCTACAATGTAGATACACGCGAGTCTTTCCGGAAAAAATTATTCGAGTTTTCAAACCACATGAAAAACGCACGTACGCGAGTCTGTGTTCGTGTTTAAACTCTATTGGAAAGGAAACTCACGTGAAATCGTAGAGTTGAAGCCAGGTTTTGCGCCAGTTGGGCCGAGAGAGGGTCGGCACCGAGAAACAGTGAAATATGAATCTCTCTCCCGGTCGACGAGAGTAGTCAACGAAACCGAGATAATCAAACGCCGCTATCTACCACATTGCGCTTTGTAAATCCCAGAAGCAATAAAGCTGCGGCGGAGACAAGAGAGCAAGAAAGACGAGGACGAAAGGAAGAAGGGCGGGAGAGACAACGGCGTATAGCTTCCGGTTACCTCTATCTTCCACGTGGTGGAACGGTCGCGCGAAAAAGAGAGAAAAAAAGGCGAAAGAAAGAAAGAGAGAGATTTTCTCCCGACGATTTTTAATTACTCGCTCGCAATTTCGCGTCTCTCGCGCCCGACGTAAACGCCATTTCGCGAGAAACTGCTGGCAGACAATTGGGCAAGAGAAAGAGAGAGAGAGAGAGAGAGCCGGTGAGATGCGGAGAGATGCTGTCGGAACGATCCGGGATTTATGTTATCTCCGGAGGACTCGCGGGAGGCTCGCACGTGTCGGGAAAACTGGATTGGCGGAAAAGAGGATAGGCACGTGAAGGTCGTTCCGGCCGATATATAGGTATGGGAAAGATAACCCCTTCGCGGGGGAGCTCTGCGAATTCTCACCTCGGCTCTATCCTCGTAATCCTGCTTTCCCGAGAGTAGCACATTATCGTGCGCCCGCTCATATATATATATATATATATATATATATATAGGTGCATGATGAATGAAATAATGAAACTCCCGGCGTCTCTGGCTCTCCGTGCTTTGAGCTTCGCGTAATTAATAGGAGGAAATGCGACAAAGTGTGTTCGTTACGGCAGCGTCGCTTCTAATTTTGCCGCGTGGTGTAATATACAGTATTAATTTCGCCTGCTTTATTATCCATACTTTTTATCCACATTATTTTTTATTCCCGCATATCTAATGCGAATGTACATTACGTAATTAACCGGGGACGTATAGCAAAATGTTACTATTTGTTAATCATCAAGGGATGTGTATGTCTTCGCAATTTAAAATAGGAGGCAAGACACGTATAAATAAAAGCTATGTTAATAGTATCGACAACACACTCACCTGCAATTAAATTGTAGAGATGGGGTTTCACACAGAGTTTTGCAAAGGTGGGAAATAAATTAGTTCTGGCGAACTATGGTCGACTTTAAATTCCAAAATTCCAAATTCAAGATACTCGTATTTGTATCGTGTAATATTTCGTAATTTTTTGACATGTGCGCTCTCGAATGATTTAAAGTCGTCCAAGGATCGTCAGGCGTTTCTCATTTCTCGTCGTTTTTCATATCAACACGTTTATTCTGATTACGTTGAGGTGTGTATATATTATAGAGAGAGATCTATAATTATTGTAGATACACGTAGTATGGTCATCGCAATTTCAATATTTGACACGCTCGCGTTTCTCTCGTCAGGCTCATCAGGTGAAATCTCACGCAACATTCGCACCGCTCACACGCAAACCATGATTTTACAGAAGAATGTACAAACGAGCGCACGCACACGTACTCGGTCAGAAGATTATGTACAATTCAAACATACACGCGCGATTCGTCAGACTTCTTGTCACTCGACTCACGTTATTCGCATTTGGAAAGAAACGCAGTTATGTCAATAAAGAGTGGAAGGCGAAAAAATACTACGGTTAAGCGGTAAAAAATAACATTTAATGAAAAAACATTTCAAATACCGAGTTTGCACAAGAAAACTGTTAATCAATTTAGCGTCTTAAAGCTGTCCAATTCTTTTTTGTACTCGATATGTCTTTTCTACTCTTCGATTATTCGTTCGATAATTAGAAAAATAATCTTGCAACGTAACGTAAACGTAATAATAAAATGGAAACGGTATCGGATTCGCGAAAACCATTTGAAATGAACGAACGAAAGTCAGCATGAAACGCGCTCGAACGTGCTCGAATTTTTCATCCTCGTATGTGAGATATAATAATATAATGAGCAATTAATGTTCGTTCTCTATATATACGGAAATTCGGACATTGTCATGATACACTTCGATATCCGATAGATATTCAAGAGAATGCACCGGAATATCTGTACTGTAGGAGGGGAAGAGGAGAGGCAGAAGGGATGTATTACGGATTCCGGGAAGTCCGGAATTGATGCAGCGCGGTTATCGCGGCGGGTAAATGAATATTCCGTTACAAAAAAGGGACGTTTGAGAGCTTTATTAGGGCTTTTGACGCTTCCGCACGGACGCTAATAGATTTCCCACGTCACGGAGGGAAGAATTGACTTTCAGATTCCGGTGTATAGAGATTTCGCATAGGGTGAGAGAGAGAGAGAGAGAGAGAGAGGGAGGATTTCTTTTGAAACTAGCACGGCCCGCTTTGGCCCTCGAGGTTTTCCCTAGCCGCGGATGCAACGTACGCCGCAATGCAGACACGACGTACAAAGCGCAACTTTGCTACTTCGGAGGCTGCGGTGAAACAAATAGAACGCATTTGTTCCATACTAACGGCCGGTTCTTCGGAATTTCGTGCGAATGGTCTACGTTTTTCGCGTTACTTTGATCAAAGCGGAACAAAAGATTTGGACAACTCATTCACGTCGACTCATTAACGCAATGTATGTCTTAATATGTCAAAGTGTCATGGAACGAGGATAATATCTTCTCTATGTCGTTACATGATAAAATAGAAGAAATCAAAGTAAATTAATCATTCAGTTTTTAGATAAAAATATGTCTGGTATTTGAATCGCAATATCTCGATATATCCTCGGAAATTCAATCTTGTGATACTTGAATAATGAATTGTCAATTCAGTTTCCTTTTTTATTTATACCGATTTTGTCAAATGTAATTATTATCATTAACGCAATATATGTCTTAATATGTCAAAGTGTCATGGAACGAGGACAATATCTTCTCTATGTCGTTACATGATAAAATAGAAGAAATCAAAGTAAATTAATCATTCAATTTTTAGATAAAAATATATCTGGTATTTGAATCGCAATATCTCGATATATCCTCGGAAATGTCAATCTTGTGATACTTGAATAATGAATTGTCAATTCAGTTTCCTTTTTTATTTATTCCAATTTTGTCAAATGTAATTATTATCACATATACGGTGATGTTCTAATCTGTCCAAAAGTAATCTGAATCGCGGTCATGTGCAATGACATGCGACTTTATTAAGCTTTGCAGCTAGTCGAAAGCACGCGAATCATATGATGACGCTTATTATTGGCTTACAGTTCATTCCGTGCGAGAATACGAAATTGGGTCGCGACGTACGAAATTCTGCGGTTCTTTATCACCGTCGAAAATTTTGCGGCGGCGAAATGTGCCCGCGGTATTTGACAGGAAACGTGGAATGTATTGTAGCATGCGAGAAGCGAGAATTTACGAAGGGGTGGAGAAACCGGCGCGTGCGATCGTTAACGGAGCGCGTGCTTAAAGTACCTGCGAAACCGGAAGGACTCCGCCAATCGAACTTTTGTGTATGTGTACAGATACATCCGGTGTACGTATCGGGTGGATCTACACTGCAGTGCTATTGCACTGCGGACTATTGTACGCGTGCAACGCGTTATGACGTCATCGAATCGAAGCACGGGTTGTGTTGATCAAATGTCGAAACAGTTTTTTTTATTCAAGTTGTTTTAGAAGAGCGATATCTCTTGAATTTTTATCTCTTTCGGAAACAATAGAAAGGATTTTAACTTATACATTTAAGTAAAGTATTTTTAGTCTTGATTGTGCGCAGGAATTTTCCTGGAAAGAAATGTATAAGTAAGAAAATCATATTATCGAAATTGTAAAAGAAAATATATATATATATATATATATATTCATATAATATCGAATAGTATAATGCACCAGAACAGGATATAAAAAAGAATAGTTAAGCAGCATAGTTAGATACCTTTTGAGTCAGGAGAAGAATCGATCTTACGGAGATTTAATTGGAGCACTCGAAGTATAATTTTCTTTTCTCCGTCCACCTTCGACCTCGTTCGAGCACCGGATAGAAAATGAAAAAGAATCGTCTCGTCTCAACCCTTTCATTCTTGAATTCTTGAAAAAATTCTTTATTATGAAATAACTGCGATATTCTAACTACAATGAAAAGTAGAGCGCAAGTTTAATATCTAAAAAAATATATTTAAATTTATATTGTAATATTAATATAGCATACGGTTTTATATCTGCTGATTAGTAAAAAAAAATGTTCGGGATTCAAATTAAGCGTGGAAGAATTAATACGTAAATTTTTGATAACGATATGATAAATTTTACTATAATAAGTCACGTGAGAAAATTGTGAAATAGCGCACACACACATATTCACACATTTCTTTTCTTATTATTCTTAATCCTTGACTTTGCAGAATCGTATGGTCACATAGATTCACATATGTACACACACACGCACACATGCCCATACGTACATATACATATATCTTTAGTTCTTTGTCTGACCATTAATCGCAATCCGATCGTTTAATTATACAGTCCCGCCCGCTCTTTAAACGGGCCTCGCCTAATTGCGGGTGCCCAAGACTTGACGATATACGCGGAGGTATTGTATTACGCACACTCTGAAAAAATATCTCGGCGCTGTACATCGGAGCATATATCTTACAAATTACGAAGGGGCGTATGTACGCACGAAGGAACGCTCGTCACGTCGACTTTCTTCGTGTTCAGCCGACGACGACGACGACGACGATCGATAACGGATTTTACGTTTAATATCGGTTGGCCACGAGAAGGAATAAAAGTAACAAAAAAACATTCGAATTATATAAGAAACACGAAACTGAATATAAATTGTTATCGAATAAAAATTATGACTTTTTTTTTTTAAAGCAAGAAAGAAAAACCAGATTTGCGCGCGTTAGAGAATCGTCGTTTCTTTCCTTTCTCGTGGACCGGCAAGACACAATATCCGCTCGATACAATTTCCCTTGGAAACGTACGTATTTCTCTGTAATATCGTTAACGGATCCGTCGATAACGATCCTTCGTGTGCCTGTTATGTGTGTCGTCCCTCAAAGAAGACGTAGGGGGTTTAACCTCGAGCATCTCTCGCGAATAAAGTCTCTCTTTTCTCGATGTGTCCTTATGTACAAGTTATTTACAACTCCCGTCTTCGCTGCGTGCGACGATGAGGACCAATATAAGTATATATATATGTGTATATATATATATACTCTGTAAGATGTACACGCGTGTACATTTGTACGGTGCACAACGTACGGCGACGCGCGAAAAGTATGTTCCTCTCGATTGCTCTTTGTTATTTTCGACGATAAACTTAATGAAAACGAATGCGACATGGCAGTTGTGCGCGTTTGGCAGTCCTATACAGGACACAGGTCTGTCCATAAGATTTCGTCGTAAAATAATGCACACATCATGGCAGTATTGTTACGTTTTTTTTTTAAAAGGGATCGACGCGAAGTGAAAATATAATCGGCCGCTAAACGATGAATTACATCGCGTTCGTTATCGCGCGACTTGATAAATACAGATTTTATATTAAGAATCCATGCATATAGATCACTAATTATTTCATTTTATTTTTATTTCTTTGACTGCTGTATATCTTCATCACTTTATGATACCAGTGTTCTTTAAATTTCAATAACCAGTCTCTATATACGTGATCGTATACACAAGTAAGTTTATTTTGTTTTTTCGGAGAATATAAAAATTGTATAATAATGAAGTATTCTCGATAGGAAGCTTAAATAAACTCAATTAAGTTCGAAAAAATATAGCGCAATGTAATTGACCGTTCACGGGCCACTTTTATATAATCCAACAGTCCTGCAACGTTATTGTCTCTTTATTCACGAAAATGACGATCCCGTCGCAAAATATCATCCGTTCGAAATGAATGGAATTACAAATAATGCATGGATACTCGCGTCGCTGATTGAACGATGCGCAGTGTACAAGGTACGTTTTGTTAATTAGAATTAATATACATATTTTCGGAGCGCAGGTAGGCTCTTTATCAACGCACACGATATAATTTCGATAATTAATCTAAATTTATATTCCGTGTCCTCGTCCTCGAGGAAAAGTTATTATTTACAACATCTTACTTGAAATAAGTGTCAGGTCATTACGAAGAGAAAAATCCTTTCTCGAGTTATTGTGAAAATGTGACTTTTGCAAAATTTCCACACGAATATTACTCACCGTTCGCACATCCCGCGTTTAGATAAGAGAAAATTCGTGTAAATAGGCTAGAATGATGAAAAGATAAAGCGAATCATTTCCGAACGGTTTCGGACCGCGCGCGAGAAAAGAGAATCGATAGTTCCGCTTATTTTATAGTCAGCAATTTTATTCTTACCTTGCAAGTTTCCGTGGTGTGCGGCATACTGTAAATAATTCAGAATAAATGTCGATATAAACAGTGAGATTCAATTAATTAGCACACGTTTACGTGACACATTTAAAATGTTGACTGTGACATGTCACGTAAATTATTAGTAATTATGTGCTTCTTTTTCGGGAGAATCGATCAACCGTCGAACAACTGCATAATTTGACTGATTAATCATTCAATTACTTTCTTGTTAATTAAATTGATACTGCGCGAGGAAACAAAGTTTTATTGGCCCAGCATGAATTTATCTACGGGATCGACCGATGCGATCGGAAATTGGATAGCCCATAAAATTGCGAGTATTTTTAGAACTGGAAAATTCATGGTAACGGCAATAGGAGAACGATGTGTCCGACATTGAGAAAATTTTCACGTCGAATTTCTTGTAACGTCACTGTTCTATGCGGCACCCACTTGTTCTATGCGGAAATATTTTTTAAAGATTTCGCGGAATGGATCGATCCTCTCCCCCGGCGCGGATCTTTTTCCAAATTTATCGTCGCGACGTAATCGACACGATGCACAGTGCTCCGAGAGAGAAGGAGAAAGGGAGCATATCGATAAAGACGCGCCATTTTACGAAAATACACTCAACGCGCCACGATCTTCTTTATTCCCATACCTACTTTGTAATACAAAGTATACCCTTGAGATAGAAAATTTACATTCGCCGTCGCGAGACGTAGGTACATTCGCTTCTCTCGCGATACGAACATCCCGCGAAATGTGGAAATCTAGATTTTTCGACATGTTTCTCTCCACTTCATCGGCTTTTCGGTCAACCGACGGAATTTCCCATGGTTTCATAGATTTTTCGACACCGGTATTTTCCGAAATCAAAACGATCATATAAGGATGACGATTCTCTTGTGAATAAATTGCGTTTCGTCGCCGTGCGACGTTCTCGATCGAAGGCGTTTTAGGGAATACCGTCTTTTATCTTTATATATTCTTCTATAATATGAATTTTTTTTGTACATCATCTTTTTAATTCTCATCGAAGATAAATACTAGTTCTCTCTAGAAATTGAATAGTAATTATTCCAATAATTTTCCATAAATTTTGTATAATATACGTGGTATCTGTCGAAAGAATCAGTTATTAAACCCGATATTAGAATTTTGCGATATAATATATTCATAAAAATTATTTGAGCAGTCTTGTATATGTTCGATTCGTTATCTCGATATAGGATTGCAAGTCGCGCGGATAGATTGCATTCGAAGATTGCATCTGGCTTTCTCTCATTACGCGATCCTCGATGCATGTTCATGCGAATCCTTTACTAAAATATATACTAGGTAGTCCGATCATCGTTGTACGATCCGTCGTTCGTCACGATCCAAAGTTTATCCATTTCAAACACGGCGTTGGCGTCGCAGCCGGAAACGAAACTCAATTCACATTCGCATAGAGAGATACCTTTTCCCGAGAATTCGAGGACGTTTTTTTTTTTTTTTACTTGAAAGAGAGTGCCGCGCAAAATTGTAAGGAATCGAAAGGTCGGCCACGAGGACGCGCACGATCGTCACGAGTCGGCGGCCATATCAGACGTAGTACTCGTTGACGTTGAGCGCGTCGGAATCGCGTCCCTATACGCAGCTCTCCTGGGTCGAGATGAGAGGCGTGCGGACGGTGACGACCTCCCTCGTCGGGTGATGCTGCTTGCCGCTCATCACGGTGGAGACGGTCGAGTCCTGGAGCACGTTCGCCGTCGTTATGGGAGTGGTCGCGCACGACGGCGCGTTCGAGACGTCCACCTTAGGCGGCCTGGCATTGTGATCGATGCACGCGTAGACGGTGGCTTCCTTCGTGTACGGTTTGCCACCTACGATCACCCCGAGACCGCTACCGTAACCCGGAAGACCGCCCAGGCCGCCGACTCCGCCGAGGCTGGCCAGTTTTGCGTCGGTCGCCAGGGTTGACAGGGTGGTGGGCCTCGCCAGACATAGCTCGGCGTATGTTACCTCGCCGGATAGCTGGAACAAAATTGGGACACGCTGCACAGAACTGATGGCAATGAGAGAAAGAATTATATTGTTTTTTTTTTTTTTAATAAAACTAATATGCGGCGACAATTTTATTAATATATTATACAAATACTACATAAATGATATAAATATACAGTAATAGCCATGATCAATAATATAATTGTTTTAGCGAAATATATGAAATATATACGGTAGAGAATATAGAGAGAAGAGTCAACTATGATTGAATGAGATTCATTGGATCATACGATGAACATTGAATTTCACATTAGCCTTGAATCCGATTATACGATTTCCAGTGTGCGTATTGTTTCGATCGATCGAATCGGTCAGGTATTACGCAACAAGTCCGGCTCGGATATCTAATGACACGTGGGGAACAGGAGATTAAGCTAATTTCAGTACATTAGCGCTGAGTTACACATATAGATACGTACGCGCGGCATAATCTTCGCTAAAGTAAATGCATACCCGGTATAATGCATACACGACCAGGCATTTAAATAATCCCGTGCAAGTCAACGTGCAGCGAAACGTAGACAACTTTCGAGATAGGACCAAAGCGTTCCTAAGAAACTAAGGGGGAGAGTTTTCGCGGCGCGCATTTTCCCTATTCCCGGGACTTAGATAATACGGACAGGTCTAACTTTCGAAATTTTCACTCCTGAATATTCCTAAGAGACCGCGCCCGGACCTAGTTGGCTCGTATCACGGAAACTTTTGACGGCGGGAGTTCCTTCGACTGTTTAGGACAGAAACCCTCGAGTGCCCGACGCCATTTCCTATATAAATTGGACGCAAAACAGCGCGGGAAATGTTCCTTCGCGAAGGAACGCAGGCTGGAAAGACACAGGACGTGGACGAAGTTGTTTGCAACGAGAGCTACTTCACTGGATTTTATCGGGCAAAGGATTAATGAAAGAAGTGCGAGATTTGCTTGGATTCTTGAAACGCGAACTGGTGCCTTCACTATCAGACTCTCTCTCTCTCTCTCTCTCTTTATGTTTTCTATAGAAATCTATTTAAATCGCGAGAGCTTGTGAGCTCTTACAATTTTTCAATACTTGCGAGAAATTTTAAATCGCTAATTTCCGAACGAGTTCCAAATTTAGCAAAAAGATTGTAACAATTAAAAATAATGAAAAAAAAAATAATTACTTGAAGGTGAAATGGAATACGAAAATTCTTAGCGATAATCAAAGTTTTCCACTCTGGAGTTTTGTTCTTGCCAAGGTTTTACTAACAGAACTTTAGATCCCAACGGTAATTAGCAATTAATTTGGTATGAAATTGAGGGTGAAGTTTCAGCGAATCGTGACGAAAGGAGAGTAAGAGATCTGGGAATATTTGAAAGAAGGAACGCGCGTGAAGGTAACGAGAAAAAAGGCCGGGGTCATCGCGATCGTAAAAGTTTGCCTTTATTATACAATACTTTATATCGTAATTCGCCCGTGAATGCTATTGTTTCGGGCGCAAAATAATTGTATTAAAATAAAATTACGTATCGATTCTACTGTTCGTATGTATCTCGGCATTTAGAACATTTCCTCGACCTCGGAATGTTTCTCAAAATCGGGAAGAAACGTAGACGGTGCAATTTTCTAGTTTCGAACTGCTGCTGGAAGCGTCACTTCCCGGTTGAAACTTTACGCAGTCCGGGTGCCATCCTCTTTCCGGATGGATACTGTTATTTCAAACTACACCGCTCGGAGGACTTTCTCGAAAATGTTGGCCAAAGCTTATCGCGAAGGGAAAAGGCGAACGACATAACGGCACGATTCGGCAAACTGTCTCGCTTCTTCCGTTTCTTCGCACTCCACTTTACAATTTCCCATCTCATTGTATAAACCTATTAATTTTATTAAAAGCGCTTCTCGCTGAACTAACGGAACTCTCTAGTGATTTAGAACATCGACTTTAATTGTTTAAAATTTTGCCTCTCCGCTACAAACGATACGTGCTGCATTCATTTGTGTCTCGTGCAATCAGAACATCCATTTACATGTAATGGCTATACCAACTATATGGCACGAGTATGTGGCACCGAGTAGGACAACAAAGTATAATTCAACACGGAATCTAAAGGGAATCGTTATAGTTTGTTGGAGAATTGGCTTTTGCATGCGCGCCGGTTATTCGCTAAAGTGTTTCATACACAAAGTACTATTCAATTCCCACGTTACCTACAAGGCTTTCCATATCAAGATTTATCAATATTTGTATATTAATGCGACAATAAAGCTTTAGAATAAAATTATGTCTGACATACACGTCAGTGTAATCCATGAAGATCGTCATGTGATTAAGGTATAATAGAAGGAGGAGAAAAGGGCGCGCGAGTCAACGTTCCGTAGAACATTAATTATTTCGCAGATAAAATCGAGAAAATTAATAAATTTCGTTAGAAAAGAACTTCCGTGTCGCGCGTTACTTACCGGCAAGGTCGGATAATTGCTGTAGTCGTTATGCGAGTAGGCGGGAAGTCCTTGGAGGTGATTATTCGTCTGCTGGGCCGGAAGGGACGACGGTGGAAGACCATCCGGTGTGTTTTGCGTTGCCAGCGGCGTGCCGGAAGTCGAGCCGGTCAGCTGATAATCTGAATCTTTCAGTTCAAACACATGAAAAATTTGCCCTCGCTCTGCTCAGCGACGAGATACTACTGTCGAGTATGATTTTGTTCGTGTCTGTTTTTCAAACGGTATCTTTGAAATATCGGTTGTTAAAACCGATAAAATATATCGTGAGTAAACGTTTTTCCAACGAACTTTTCAGATAAAATGATAAAGTATGCAACACATATAATATTTATAAAAAATAAAAATATATATTCCTGACATATATATTCACAATATAAAATAACCATACTGTCACCTGTACCTTTTAAATAATATATAATGAAATTTATATGTAGGAAAGTTTATATAGAAAGATGGAATATTTCGTTTTTTTCCATATGCATGTTATAAACTAATTTAGATTAGGCACGCTAGAATTTCGAGATATTTTATCGATACTTTCTATTTTACAATTAGTAAGGATTATTAGAAAAATAAAATTACTTTACAGCTACGAAAAATCTACAGAGTCTATTATATTATTTATAGAAAGAAAACCGCGATGTGCATTTGGTTATTCTATTACACCAATTTAATTACTAATTCACATCATGATGATGCACTGAACTTTATCGTAATAAACTAATAACTAAAGCATTACAAATGTATCGATACGTGGCTTAATTTACCGAGAAGCGGTACGCTAATGCGATATGTTAATTAAATAGTAATTTGTATCTAAACCAGATATAGCATCGATTGTGATTAAATAATTAACTAAGTAATATCATGTCCAGAGTAATTTTCTTCATTAGATTAACATTGAATATTTTGTTTGAACGACAAATTAGCGTTCCGAGGGCATATAACTCGCGGATATAGCCAGATGTCTGATATAATTATATAAAGAAATAATGTACTTTTTCGTTAATGTACTTATTCGATATTCACTTGATGACTTTGCATGAAAAAGATTATATAAACAAATCCTTGATGGTTATATTGCAGAATTTTGATAACAAAGCTCGCCAGCTCGCGAATGTAGTTATTCGAACGTTGTGTATCGGATTCGCATAAGCGAGTTTCGTGAACAAGTCTGCCTTGTAATCGGCCGAGTAATTTATTAACAAGTCAGAGGGTTAAATTCTATAGTTCTCGACCATACTATACTCAATCCATAACCGCTAGTGCTGCTCCCGTATATTATTGCGAACGATGTAATGACGCATAGCATAGTTGCAGCGCGATGTTGTTAACGAATCGCGGTGCGTTGCATTCGCAATAGAGTCCGCTGAATTTCCGGTCTCGAGTACACTCGCCCAAGTGTTCGCGATCGCTGTCAATCAGGCATTACGTTGGCTTGATAGCCAGCGGCAATGCAACTGATAAAATTTCCATGTCGAATCGAACGTCAAACTCCCGGGAACGTTAGCAACATTCTAGCAACTCTATTACTCTTTTTCCTGTTTCTTTTTTCATACGTTTATTTTGTTCAAATAAATTTTGTATTTTTAAATGCATTTAATATTATTTCTTCAATTAAATATCGTTCATTTGTCGATTGCATAGATATTTATTTAAAGATAAAAAATTAAATTATAAAAAATTGAAAAATGTTAGACGCTATACGTTTTCCTTCTTCCTATAGAGGAAGTTACATTTTATGTAAAAAAAATTGTAAGTAAAAATGAAATCGAATAGAACCGGATGAAACAACGGGATTAAACGGATAGAGAATTCGTTTTCGCGCGGTCGATTCTTTTAAATTACAGATCAAATTGGAAACCCGGTTCTAAAGTAAATTCGGCAATGCGTACATAGAGAAAAGTGGGATAACCAGAGACACTATTTCGTTCACATATACACGTACCCACATATAAAAATAATTAAATATCTAATATCAGGAAGGAAGAGAAAATACGTGAAACTTATATTCTTGATCCACAATGTAAATATACAAAATTAAAAATTATTCGGCATCATTACATGTCATTTTCATAATAAATTTTTTTATTTATAACTTTAAACCGGAAAAAGGACATTAGTTGCGAATCTTACGAAAAAATACGAAATTTATTTTTCGCAAATGCAAATTTTCGCTACAGTCGTCTCGTTCTTCGATCATAGGACACGCAAGTGAGAAAGGAGGGAGGAATAGGTACAGCCGTTTGAAATTTTCAGGACAAATGCGAATGTCGATCAACATATCACTGGGCAATGTATGTTACAACTGTGTATTGTATTCGTCGTTGTGTAACGGAGCAGGAGTTGCGCGCGATTTACGCGGCTAAATAATTTCGTGCATTGTTCGAATTTTCCCGATCGTGCGCTTTGTGCCGGATATATGTATATTTAGGATATTTCCGAATTTTTTATTCACACGATGCAGATATTAAACAATATGACAGTAAAAATTACAAAAGTGAAATAAATCTGTATAAAATGCGTGAGCGCACGCTACATAGTTTTTTTCGAATTTATTTAAAATATTAACACCGAAAAAATTGTATTCTAAGCGCCAAGAGGAACCTCTTAATTTAAGAAATTCCTCTAAATTTCAGTATATTTTTTCTAAAAATAAAAATAAATTAAGAAATTCCTCTAAATTTTAGTATATTTTTTTCTAAATATAAGAATATCATCTTAAATTAAGAGGATCCTCTTGGCGCTTTAGAATACAATTTTTTCGGTGAATATTTATTTTTTATATTAATTTTGTTGAAATTGCGTGAAAAACAGTTTGAAGAACTTTACCCTTACCTTTGTTGGTCGGTACAACGTCCGGATTTCTGTCATCCGCGTCGTAAAGGTCCTCGGAACTTGGCGCGGTGGCCTTCTTTAGAGGTAAATCGCCTGGCCTTTGTGCTCGCCTCTCGCTCCTCACCTTCAACGCGGCTAAAATGGTGGCGGTGACGAGCAAAAGTGCAGTGACCACACCGATCAGACCCCCGAGTAACGGGGTGAACTCGAAGGGTACCGGAGTACCTGTGAACAAGACGCGTACTGCTCTCGTGCAAGTATGTCGATGCAAGTTCCTTTATACGCGCGATGAATGAAGAGAAGGTGATTTTTCCGAATACACGTTATCGAAATAAAATGACGAATCAAATATGTATATTCGCGTATATACGCACGATGTACTTTTGCCTCTGCGGAGCACTTTCACGCGAGATGAGATAAATTAAGCAGCAACTCGCGAGAAAAGTAGCGACGGGGCAATTTTCCAGACGGACTGCCGAGGGTAAACGGATTAAACGAGTTAAAGTCGCATTACGCGCGCCGTAAAAAAGATTCGAGATATTTGGCCTGCGCGCGAGAATGGAGCCATCTGACTACCAACCTACCCATTTCTAAGATTAATGAATTCGAATCCTTTTGATATCTCTCCACGTTTAAACACTGTCCCGGGCGACGTTTAATTTTCCACGTCTCTTCCGCAACGTCTTCCCTTCGTACTCGCGCGCGCGCGCTATCGCTCTCTACCTGTCTGTTTTTTAATCTCTTTCCTTAGCCCGGGTCCTCTCTCCTGAGAGACATCGCTCGTAATTGCCACTCGTTTTAGTCACGAGCGACCGAGTGTTTTTACTCCGTGCTCCGATGCACAGCCAAAGTGCACGTTAATTTTTAATCAAGGCGAAAGTGCACCGAGTATCCATGATATTTACCTGCCATCTGCCTTTCTTCGTCACCTCTTTGCTTTTCCCTACTTTGTCTTAAAGTTTAACTGATTCTTAAAAATACATTTCTGTTCGATGCCTTGTATTTTCCTGCGACGCTCTCTGTATCGATAAAATTGTAAATCAGGTTCGCGTACTTAATTTGATTTAAGTATACTGAGAGAAAATGCGAAATTCTACGATCCTCTTATTGAGGTCTCTCGTGCAAAGATATTCGAACGTTCGTGAAACATTAAAGCGGTAGCATAAATAAAACGAATTTATAATATAAAAAATCATTAATTATTTAATTTTCAAAGATTAGTCGTCTCTTTCGATAAAAATAAGTTTTTCAGGTCATAGAAATTTACGAAGAAAATGATAAAGCGTAGCAGCAGTGCTCATTTATTAATCCTTCATTTATCATTGCACACTTTTTGAAAAATACGACTCTAGCTTGGAAACTTTATTTAATTAAATTAAGATTTTATTGACAATCACTGTTTCGTCTCTTTGATTTTCTGATAATGTGTAAAAATCTTTTTGCAAAAGCATGTTCAACTGATTTTACACAAGAATATTGTGTTACATGAATATTGACGATATTGTATGTAACGCATTATGTTTTGTCCTGCATCAAACCTTGTTTATTTTCCGTGTGACACGGAAGAACTTTTAATAATATACTCTCCCAGTGGAATAATATTTATCGAATCGTGCCATGCAGCAGCCAGCGTATAAGCCAGAAATTTCTGCATCGCGAAAGATTTGCGAATAATAATAAAAATAATAAAAATCTTTCTTTCTCTCTTCATTTTACCTTTTCAGATCGATCAAAATTCGAAAAGTACGATATTTCATGCATTAGTCTGCCCTCCAGTATACATATTTAGCTCGCGTGTTGATGCACAAAGGTACTTGCACCGGTGCGGTTTGCACGTGTCTTTTGGCCATGTATAATTTGTACTTTGCTACCGCATCGGGGAACACGAGGAGTCGAGATTTTAGAAGCTCGCTCCTGCCGTTAGTACGGCCCGTCTGAGGTCGGACGTTCGTGGGATCTGGAGAGCCTTTCCCGCTTTCTCTCGGGAAAGAGACGCTTCTAGCGAGACGAAGCGACGACGGTGCACGGGCGATGCGACATAGAGAGATAGCTGATCCGGGAATTTTATTAAAGTTTCACACTCTCACCGGCTCTCTCTCTCTCTCTCTCTCTCTCCTCTCGCGTGCGCGCGACGAGTGGATCGATTTTCGAACCGACCATTCCGCCCGCATACGCGTATACCGGCTTATATACCTAGTGTATATATACATCACGTCACGGATGTGCACTCGCCTGAATCGCCCGAACCGTGGAAACTGACCGAGAGAGCAATTTTACTTGTAAATTTGTCCCAGACCGAGATATATATATATATATATATATATATATATATATATATATATACACATACACATATACACACATGCGTGTATATATATATATATATATATATATATATATATATATATGTCTGGGTCGAGTATATCCGTTCTAGGGGAAGATAGATCCCGAATCTCTTCCTCTTCTCGTCGGTCGAGATTCTACCAGGCAGAAATCTACGGGATGAATGCGGCTAGCGAGGGATGGATTCGACGAGATCCATCCTCTCGGGCATCTGGACCGGGCTCAACCGCGTAGGATTCGTCGGTAATTCCGCGCGCGGTTTGCGTTTCTTATGGAACACATCCCGTAAGTCGTTGTGCTTTTTCCTCTTCCTCTCCTTCACGAGACCCCGTTGTTTCTGCGGTGAAATATATGCTACTGCTCTCTCTCTCTCTCTCTCTCTCTCTCGGTGCACCGAGAATTTTCGCGAGAATCGTACGCGAATATTCTGCAAGCACGCGAAAAGAGGGAACGTTAAGCGGACCGAACGATCGATCCCTTCGTATCAATTTTCCGCGGTTTTATTCCGACGAATAATCGTACGGGCTTCATCAACGCGTTGCCGCGTTAGATCTGGTCGTTGGAGAGATTATATAACTCGCGCGAATGGAAAGTTTTTTTACCGCTACGTTCTCATAGATCTTTCCCACTTTCGTAATTACAGGTGGACGGTGAGATTAATTTCGTAATTACTCACGATATACCTGTTTTTGACTGCTTGCGCTTTGCAAATATTATTACCATCTCCTCGGCGGGATGGAAATCTCTCTTCGTCTTCGCTGCATTAGAGTTCTCCTTCGCATCTCGGGTCGAGAAAATAAGCATCGCCACCGAGCCACGTCGACACTCTTATTTGGAAAAGAGCATACGTATATACATATATATATATATATATATATATATATATATATAGGGAGTATACACGTATAGGTACCATGCGGACTCTCTGGAAATCTGGCCGTAGCGTTTTACGCACCGCCAGAACCGCCGTCAATTTTTGGCCGAAACCGTTTCGTGTAAGTGGATTGGAAAACGTCGGAATAGATTACTACTCGCAGAGAACGGTCGTTTCGTAGAACAATCCACGCACACACACATAGACGTAACCTGCGTAATATCCGTCCAGGTGATTGTGCGTGCGTATGTGTTTGTGATGTGTTTGCCGCCGATTGAATTTTGTCGATCCAGATGCTCAATTTTCGCGGTGAAAACTTTTCGTACGGTCCATACGGTCTTTAGCTGCGACGAGGCGGTATATCGAGTTCGACTCGGGGATTCAGGCTGGATGAACGGATTAAAACGTTACACGGGACAATCCGCACGGGTCCGTTCAATTTAATTCTCTAATTCGATTAACCCGACGTCCTCCCCGGCTACTCTCATAATTTATGGGATGACGTTGCGTCGATAATTTGCTCGGACGCTCCTATCAAATTACTTATTTCGGTGACGTAGATACGATCGATAACGTCAGACCTCGAAGCTACCTGACTCGGACGTTGTCGATCATCATTAGTGCCATGAATTTTAGATATAAGCAACATTGTCGTCGTTATATTCCGCGTGGATTGAAAAATTCGTCGACGGATCATTATCGGCTTATTATTGTTCGAAAGTTCATATTTTCGCGACGTAATATTATTAATCTCGATCGTTTCGGATAATGTAAATCTTTCCAATATTTTGTCACAAATTCCCGAAACTTTTCGCGCGTCTTCCGACGTAATATTTCTAGCACAACTTACCAGTTTGCTTCTCGGCGACTTTGAGCGTAAAACCTTCCAGTAGAGTGGGTTCGCTTCTTCCTTTCGCGTTCACCGCGTACAGAATCATATTCAGAACCTTGCCCGGTTCTAAGCCCTGTACGGTGAAAGCCGCATTATCTCTGGACGTGACGTTGGCCTGCAGAACTCTCGTGTGCTGATCGAACACTTCAAGGAGGAAGTGTTGAGGCTGACCACCGTCAAAACCAGCGGTGCATTCCACCGAGAGTGATTCGGTGGTCTGGTTGGTCAGCGTGCAGTTGTATGGAGCTTCCGGTTTGCCTGTACACGCGTCATTAACATTGTTTACAGTTCGCTCCCTCTCTCTCTCTCTCTCTTTCCATTTCAATGAAAATTATTTGCCAATTTAGCGACACAATGTTGTTCCGGCGTCGCGTCGCGAAACGCTCGGCATGTTCGTTTCGCTAAACGCTTCTCCGGAGCAACTTTTCCCGGAAATCCTTAGCGATTCAGAGAGCAGCATACGTGCGTACATACCCGCAGGAATGATGTGAAATATGCAGGCATTCTTCTGCTGACCGGCTGTGTTGCTCGCCCAGCACAACACGGTGCCGTAGTCCATTTCCGTGACCGGCCGGTATGTGAGGACGCTCTGGGTATGTCTGGTCGAATTCTTGTAACGCGCTTGGGGCACGTCGACCATCTCCTCGGTATTGTTGAAGGCCCAACGAAAGCTCTCCGGCGGCGGAAACGCCTCGACCCTGCATATCACGCGAGCGTCCTCGTGTCTCGCCACCCCGTAGATTCTCTTCTGATCCGGCACGCAGATCGGTTTGTCTGGGAAGAGACAGTCGGAATCAAGCGACTTTGTACCGTGCGAATGTAGTGAATAAAAGCAAACGCGCATTTTTTTTTTTTTTATCATTTTCAATTATTTACCGGTATTATTTTCTTTCGTAAAATAGAGGCTATTGACAGGGTGTCTAACGGTTAGGGAAAAGTCAGGAGATTCTACTATTTGTCTGGATTTTTTCACATTATTCTACATTTGTCTCAATAATTTGAAAATTTTTATTAAATAAATATAAATTTTTTCTTGACTCCCAGCATGCTAATTTTCTGTGTTGTTAAAAATCGATTCATCTACAGCGTGTTTGTTCGTTTATATTTTCATCGTCGTGTTATTTTATTTCAATGTGTTTAATAGAGATAAAACTAAAAAATTTAATATAATATAAATAAAAAGGTGATTATTTATAGTAACATGTTCGTTTCGATATCGTACATAATGCAGATTGTATAATTGATTTAAATTTTTGTTTTAACTTCCGAACCTTTTCATTGTTGACAAAAATATTTCAAGAATTTCATGATTCAACATTTAATTGATTTATCATATAGATATTGCAAATTATATAAAAAATAATACTAAAAAGTCAGGGAATTTTTTCATTGCTGGATACCCTGTATTGAGATAAATGTCATTTTCAAAAATGTTAATATTTAATATTTAAAGAGAAGGGCTGAAAAACAACTCGACAACTCTCTTCCAAGAATATCTTGAGTGAAATAAAAATGTCTAGCGGATATATCTCTGAGATATATAAAAATGTCATGCTACCGCGATGAAAGTAGATATGATTCTCATGATACACCGGACAGAGAGAAAGCCGCAGTATGCGACATACAGATCGGAGCCGTGTGGAGTTTACACGCATTTATTAAAAGTGCGAGGATGAGAGAAGGGATGACCACCGCCCCGGCTTTTCGACGGAAGATCGATGAGCATTATTCGCGCGTTCGCTCGAATAATTTCCCCATTTTTCGCGGCGCAAACGGGAAAAAAGAGAAGGGAAGGAGGGAAATCGGAGTTTGCCGCTTTGGAATAATTTGTTAGTTCGTTGTGGATATTTTTCTTCGTTACGTCCAACCTCCCTTCCATCCTCGTCCGCCCGTTCAACCCTTTCGACTATGTTTTTAATGAATAATTATGCCGACATCTTGATGTTTGACGTTTATTCACGAGTAATATCCTCAAGGTCTCGTTATAAGCCCGTTGACCAATTACAGGGAAACTAGACAGAGTCTGTTATCGCGATTTTTCCCGAAAGAGCCAGGTTTCTCTCGAAAACGCTTAATAACGTCGCACTATTTAAATGTCAGTCATCGGTTACGTTGCCGCATCGTTTACATCGTATTACATTGAAATATCTGCGACGTTGAGCATCGCACTTTGAAACAATTACAGGGATTTCGAACCGGAAAAACGGAGTAATCCAAGTCGGAGCGAGAGCAAAGAGGGTGGAAAGATTATTCTCGACAAAGGAGGTCGGGATTGAGGAAGAATTTGCTCGAAATAAAATTTTTCATATCAACGAGACGCGCAAATCGAATCTCGAGCGCTTTTCTAGATACGACAGTGATAACGCGATCAATGATAATGGGTACTTACACATGATCTTAAGTTCCACGATATTGCTGTAGCCATCGCCTTCGACGTTGCTGGCAACGCAGGTGTAATTTCCGGCCAGGGACCGATTCACATCTTGGAGAGCCAAACCGTATTGCTGGACTATAACGCCGTTCTTCGCGTTATTCTGAATCACGTTTCCCTGGAACATTCACGATTAGATCCAAGTGCTATCGTGCTATCTCTCTCTCTCTCTCTCTCAGCGAGTATCTCGGTTGTTATTTCCAATCTACATGATAATGTACGTCGATGTTACATATTTCGAAAATGGCCTACCTCTATATACAAATACACGCTGCAATTAATCGATCGATAATTAAACTAAAGAGAGAATGTACAATTGTACTTTTGCGTATTATAAAACAATATAATCTGTAATACAATCTATAGCCTCTGTACCATTTATATTCGATGTGGGAATAACCCGGCGAGATATAGATAGATGTATTTCGTTCAGAACAACGGCGGGGTTTTACTTAATTAAATGGGGTTTTATTAATATTGAGTTAATGAACTGCCAACGACAACATCAGTAAAGTTGAATATTTTGGTATTTACAAAGCATTTATAGACGCCGCGCTATAATAACGTACTATATTAAACAATACGTAATGACGTCAGCGTGAAGGTAGTGAGGACGCAAAATCTGAATAGACGTCGACGAAAAACGGGAAAAGTGGAGGGAGAAGAGACGCGTAATGAGATCGGTGGGAATAACGTAAAACGACGGCGAAGGAAAATTACACCACCATTTGTATCAAGACCGTACTTAATATACTTTCCCTAGTCATCTTCGAAGTAGCGGATCAAGTCTTCGCATGTTACGCGCAAAGAAAACTGCATTAATGTTTCTCTATCTCCGGGGATAAAATTTGGGGAAAAATGGAAATAAAATTTGTTATGTGTATTCTATAATATAAAAATCGTTACGATAGTTCTAATGATACGATCGCGAAACGGTCAAACTAAGATAAGACAACTTTTAGCGCGTCTCTCCGTTGTATAAATGAAAACGTTGATTAAGATAAAAGACGAGCTAATTTAAAATTGTATTAAGAAAGATGCATTTAAGATTATATTAAGGAAGATTCTTGTGTGGCGTAATTGTATTATGTTTGCGTAACGGGTGAACATTACGGCTCGCAAGTTAGGTAATATTTAGAGAAGCAGCAGAGGTTTTAGGCATGCGGAAAGTTTGTTTCCTATTTGTCGGTTTCGACTGCAATGGCCATTATTCTGAACCAACAGTTTTAGGTAGAGTCGAAACTATTCAAGCGCAAATATATCACTCGAGAGAATTCAGAGGTCATTGTTCAAATTCAAACCTTGAGCTTTCTCAATTCATTTGTGTTATGTATATATGTACAAATATACACTCATTGTCAGTTGTCATATATACAATTTTTATTTAGTAATTTTAATCTTATTTATTAACTCACCGTTATTCTCGATTAATAATATCAGTCCATTTTTACCATATATTTCGCCGATTTAAAATATAGCATATATAAAAATACACAATATGCACGAATGTATGTGCAATATAGAAGATTTTTCTCGAAGACTTTACTTACGTTATGTTTCCATACGACTTTATAGGCACCCGGATTCGCACGAACATTGCACTCAAAGTATACGTCATCGCCTTCTTCGATGTCATCTGGATTCATATTCTTGCCGAGCTGCAGATGCAAGATCGGAACAACTGCAACGAGAAAATATACGTGAGTTATTGAAACAATCTTATTTATTTTTACGATTTATAAATGGTTATTTATCCCATAAATAAATGCAAATTAATATCCGTCTGTCTAAATGTAAGTGATTAAAAATTTCGAGAAGGATGTGTGTATACAAGATTGAAACAAGTCCAATTTTTCTCAAATTATTGTAGGAAAAATGATAAAAAGTTATCTAACGTTTCAGAAAAATAATTAGAAACGGGTCTCTCATCTGTGTTATATAAGAGTGTTTCAATTTTAAATTTATACTCTTAAATTCATATACGCATATATAAGTTTATTTAAAAAAATCAAATTATTTTCTTATTTCTTATTTTTGTTAAACGTTGATTAAAAGTTTCCACACATAAAAAGTTATTCCTATTCAATTTTAATCGTCATATTGACGGAGAATTAAATTTCTATAGCAACTTGACTCAACTACGAATTTCTATTTACAAAGATATAACTTGTTTATCAGAAACAATAGACTTGCCTTGCATTGTGACTTGTATTCGGGTTTTCGAGTTCGCGAGATGTCGGCAGCGCGCCGCGGCAAGTGAAATAAATCGCCGTCGCGCCGGACGTTCCATTTTGGCCGCCGTCGTTGACGTCTCGTTATTGTGATTACATTCGCGTTTGCACGAACGTAATCTATATCGACGGTCTTGTTTCGGCCTGCCAGGCTTTTAACCCGTTTACCGTACCCGTTGCATACATACAGATGCACGTGTTGACATATATATATATATATATATATATATATATATAACTTGCACGAGGATTTTTCGATGTGTCGATTGCGCGAAGAGCGACACGCGTTTTCGAGTTTAGGACTTGATGAATCACTGCCAACTTGTTTTTATGCGACAACGCGCGCATCTAACGCATAACAATTTGCGTCCAAATTTTCGAAACATATTTTTGTATACGGTTATATTCTCAAATATCTATATATATACAAGGTAATCTTCGTAACGATCGCCACGTATACGTATGATAAATTTCTGTTCATGGCTTTTTTGTCAGATTATCATAAATGCCTGAAAAATTGTAACAAATGTTACGAGGACAACTCTGTATGTTACGTCCTTTACGAGGAGAAAAAGAGAGTTTCAGACAGCCGATCGGAGCGCGAACCCGTTAAAGTGAAATTTTTGCTAGGATAACATAGAAATGTTTGCCGTGCGCGTAACAATTTCATTCCCGATGAGACTTGTGTTTACTTTTATAGTTGTATAAAAATAAAAAGCGGATCCCGTGCGTTTATTATAACGCTGAGAAATATTCTTTTACTCGTTTGTTTTTATTGTGCGGTAAGGCATAAAAGGGAGAAATGATTGCGCGTTATTGTCTTGCAATAACGTTGGATCTGGAGCATTTTGTTGGCGCGTTCGCACAATATTGACAGCGTTGCGTTAATGAATAATGATATCAGTGATAATAATGCCGGCTCCGCAGAGCGTATCGTGTTGCCATTACGAGTATGTAAACTGGTGGTCTACCCCAGCTATTGGTTTGTGATCTGATATTATCCTCGTCCAATTTTTTTATACTGCCTATCGTGTATGTATGCCAATATCGTGTATGTGCGTGCAGCGTGTATTGTAATTATTCTGATTATGCAGACGGTAGTATGTCGTCGGCAATAATATTCAACAAAACATGCGTATTACGCTATTGTTATTATTATTGATAAATGCAAGACAAAACATATCGTATACATAATCTATATAATCGTTGAATATTGTTCTCTTTATTGAACATTCGCGATTCGATGGAAATTATTGAAAGATCTTTCATTTTCATCGCTTGCCCGTGCAACTCTCTTCATTTGTATTCAACGTGTGAGAATGCATACTTACAAAAAACATTCAGTTTCCATGTATCCTCTGCTATACCGCGGGTGAGTTTAGGATTTTCAGCCCTGCACGTGATAACTTTATCATGATCTAATAGAGTGGGCTGAAATGTTAAGATGGAAGTCGTCATGTTACCATCCTGCGAAACCTGCAACAAAATCGGGTCATGATTTTATTATTATTATTATTAACGCTATTATCAACTATTAATTAACGAGAAAAGATACTTTGTGTAGTTTCAGTTGTAAGATAAGATAATATAAGACCATTATACATCGTATTAAATTTTACATATTGACGTGGTCTCGAGTTCAGAGAGTATCAGAGTTATATAAAATTATTCCCATAATCGATATATCGAAATTATAATTATACGTTACACATTTTAATGTGTCTTATGCCGCATACGTTAATTGCATTCCCGATATTTTTTGCTACGGCGCTCCTATTAAAGTGCGCATCGTGCACGAGTAATTAGATCACCCGTACTTAATGCTAATGCTTAATATGAACGCGTTATCTGTTTTGTTAATAGCGATAAATGAACAATTTGCGACAGCATCAGCCATATCCACCTATTATATCAGTTACGATACAGTACCAACATTTTGTTTATTTATTATTTTGCGCAGGTTGTTACGTTTATTAATTTGCAAGCGTTTCATTAAAGTTTCGCTACTAATTAGCGTCGACGCCAGATATCGCGTCGTGTACTAGATGCAGAAACATGATATATGCATTTTAACACGATGCCGCTATGAGAGAGGAGCTAATTATAATCGACTAAGACGAGATACCGTAAATGTTTCGCAATTATAAATTATACGCAGTTGTAATCCTTTTGGAAACGAAATTTTTGAAGAATTTTATCTAAAAGATAATCTCGAGTCAAAGGATAGCATTAGCTACAGCGGGTATAATTATTCGTACTCGCGCGTTTGAGGTAAGGGCGTATTGGGGCTTATAAGCCAGGCGTTAATCCGGCGATAAGTCTTAATGACCGGACGAGTCAGTCTAGGAGGCGTTTATCACCCACCTTTGTGGTGTAATAGTAACTGACTTTCACGTGAATATTTCACCCCCTTACGTGAATGTAACTTTAACGTAACCGACACGAAACCGGCTTGTGTATTTGCGTAAATCCACACGACGTGTAAATGTCTCGTCAGAAAACATGTAATTAACTAACATTTATACACAACCACATCTTTGACGCTCGCGCGCAAATCTTTCTCTACGAGGAAGCATCTATGTAGAGTGTCTGCAAGACACTAAACGAAATTTTAATAGTATATTCTCTCTGATTGGATTAGTTCAATTAGATTAAACTAGATTAAATTAGACTTATTAAAGTCGAATATCCTGATACAAAAATAGCAAGACTTAATAAATATCATAATAGATTTCAAACCGTATTTCTATGTTTCGATTTTCATAGTTCAGATAATATCAATTTTCGTTTTCAATTATTATAATTAATCGACAGAAATAACATTAATCTTTATTTTAATTTAAAAAAGTATGTAATAATTACAATCATTTTTATTTTTAAAGTTATGTTTCGAAAGAAGGAAATTTGTGTGCTTTTATTAAATTCAATAATTTTTTAATAATTTGGATTAAGTGACTTGTTAGCGTAATTTTAAATGAAATTAACTCATTGTTCAAGTTATAATAATTCTTCTCGCCATTTCTCACAAATTCTCTGCGAAATAATAAAATCATCAGTTCTAGATTAGAGGGTAATTCGATTTTGATACAACTATAACTAAACAATTCGCTCTCTCTCTTTCTCTCTCTCCTACTGAAACTGTGATAAATTCGTGCAGTAACGACCGAAGTGACAACGAACTATCTCATAATCGTGTTTGTGATCATGTCTTATCACGTCACTATATTGGTCAAGCTAATGGATTTCTCAAAGCTAATTGAACGTCTCTAAATTAGCAGCCTTCAATCAAAAGCTTACATTGATGTGCTTTCATATCGTAAAAGAGATCTATTGCATTTGTCACTCGATTAATGAAAATTGTCCATTTTATTCGTTTATATAATGAACTTAATCGCTTTCTTTATCGATTCCCATTATCGATAATTTTGTTGAATATGGCTTGTAAAATATCGCTAAATATTGAAACCATATAAAATCATACAAATAAATAAAAATTTTTTTGAGTATAATATTAATTCAAATTTACAATAATAATGAATAAAAAAATGTATGTTTAATAAGTATATTTAATTACTCTGAATATGAAATTGTAATTGCTTCTTTTCAAGTTCATAAATATTAATATTTGCTTTTAAAATATGAATTTTATAAAAATAAAAAGAAATTATTATTTTAAATAAGATTTATAGAGAGAATCTTTGAAATTAATTTTACGCAAGTTTTATGCATATCTCAGAGTTTCAAAAATATTTTTACCACAGTTTCAATTCTTTGAAATTAAAACTTTTTAATATTTCAAAATACATTAAGAAACTAATAAAAAATAATAAGCAATTTACATATCAAATATTTATGCATACATTTGTTCTTATTATATTTGTTAGGTCAACGCACGATTTAATTTTGTTTAGCATTCTTTAGCATAATTTTCTTTAGTAAAATTTCAATTCACTTGTTTAAGTTTCAAGAATACATCACAAACAAATGTATATAAATGTATACGAATTTTCGCATTTTATAAACAAGAAAAGAAACGGTGGTTTCATGCACGTAATAAGAATGCTGCGATTAATAAACTATATGCATATCTCGTCCCATTAAAAATATTAAAGTTGCAACTGTGCAATTCCCTTAAGAGCGCGATTAAAATCATGTTAATACGTTTTAGAAAAGGCACGCGACTTTTCAAGTAGTTTTTGTAAAAGTGTGAGTAAGTAACAAGTATGGGTCGCGTAATAATGATGCGATAGAAAAGCGCACAAGCATATGTCGAAAGAAAAGAAATACAACGAAATGTAACCCTTATCTTAAATCTATTTTAATATCTACCTACCTTAAATTTTAAATATATACATAGCAATGTAATTCATCTCGAGAGCATATTTATAATTACTGCATTTCGCAATACTCTTTTGCAAAAAAAAAAAAAAAAAAAAAAAAAAATTTCTTAACGAGCAATATACATTTCAAAGCAGATTAGCTGATGAAGAGATTGAAACTTTTGCATCGCAGTGTACATTTGCGGGAACGCGGTGGAGCTCGGAACGAAATTGGCCCGAAATTCGCGCGGCGGTCATAAATCGGCAAAGTCGAATCACCCACTGCCAACTATACTGTCCACAATCCAGCCTCTCTCCGTTTCGCCCCTGCGTTTTTCTACCCCTTCTCCCTTTTTCTCTCTCGCACTCTGCTCGCCATACCTCGATATGTCTACCGGTACCGAACTTCATTCGACACCGCGATATTATGACGTATAACGCGAGATAGCGCGAACGTGTCAGAACTGTGGATGCGGCCTGCCCGGCACCGGCCAACAACGTGATCGTTATTTGCGGCGGAAAATATCAGCTCTTTGAATCTCTCCGCCACTGCGCTGGATCATCGTCGATCACAAGCGCGGCCGCGAGATCGATCGGGTCGGCGAATCGTTATTGCAAAATTCACGTGTACGGATGGCAACGCGCTTCATTTTTCATTCCGAAAGTTTTACCGCATCTCGATTATGCACGGGATAGCTGGCGAAAGTGACGTTACGCAAAATTTCTGCACGCGGATATCAGCGAGATCTTTATGTGTTCCTTTCATCATGATTCGTTATAAATTTCTGCAATTACATAATCTGCGCGTTTTTGTATATCTATGATATTAATACAAATTGTCACGTGAATTTAATCGCAAAACGAAAATGTTTATCGACGCAGAGAAATATTTGAATAGTACGCGTGAAATCGAATTCTTCAAAGAATCATGGATAAGACGATAATCGAAGAGAATAATTGGAGTAGATACAGTTAGTTTTCCAATACTCGTTTCGATTTCGTGCGACGAATTGTGTTTTAGATTCGGATTTTCTGGTAGAAAAATGTTCAATAAATATAGAATTGGATGCTTTATCAAAGTTCACAAATACTATGGCAATTTCGTCGCGTTTGCAAAAACAGCGTATTCAATAATTTAAGATCTTTTCTTAGTAGTAAAATTGAGTAAAATATAATTAAAAAGAATTTCTTCGATTTTTGAGAAAACGATTATAGTCTGAAATTTAGAGAAAATATATCATCTAAAATTAATATAAAGTCTAAAGATTTAAATCTAGAATTATATCATCTTGCACGGTAAAAATGCGCCAAAAATTTAATAAGTGTGACACAAATAGAAAGCAATAAAGCAATAATAAAAGATTATAGTAAAATATAATTACGCATTTGTATTGTTCTATATTACTGTTTATATAATACACTCTACATATCTCTCCCATTTGAATCTGTCATAGAACTGTTGACAAGTCGTCGGATGATGGATGATGTCCATCGCTTCATAGTTACGTATGTACCATCTATATTAGATAACTTTGTTCTACTCCTAGAGCAAATAGATCTCCTTAACGTCAAATCATCTCACATTTGCATCTATCATCGCTCCATTTATACAATTAATTGGAAAAACCAAAAAATCTTTGTCCACGCAGACTAAAACATATCGAACTTCGTATTATATAAATTATAACAAATTTGAATTATGAGATATACTTACATATTTTTATAGTATCATTTTCTCTCCCAAGAGAAAAAAATGAACTAATCTTTTCCATTCATTCGTAAAAGAGTGAAAGAGCCGCCTCTTTTGTACGATGACGAATTGAATCGGGTACGTTTACCGTTCGGGACGAAACTCTTTGGAAAAACTCTTACAAGCGGCAGTCTTACAGCGAGAGGAGAGATTCGAACGGCGTGTACATCGAGATGTAATTTGGGGGGCGGTTGGATCAAAGAATCACGTTTCAGGAAGAGTTTGCGCCGCGGAAATGCGAGACGGGCGTAGATCGATGATTCGCCCGAGAGTTCGAGTTTACGTATATATATATATATATACATGTATATATACGAAGGAGAGTTTCTCCTCGCGATGTTAGGATCAAAGAGCGATGGGAAGGGAGACGCGCACGCGAGATAGAGACGAGAAGGCGCGAATCGCAAGAGAGCGAGAGCGAGAGATCACGAAAGCTGGCCTGGCTATTCGGATAATTGCGCCATGGCGTGTCGGAGAGGAAGCTTAATGGCAACGATGCAAATATACTGATACCGGTCGCTAATGTCAGTGATTTCGTGGAGGAACAGGCATCTCTCCTCGAACGAGATTTCGCGCCATTTTTTGGCACCCCTGGCTGTTTTTTTTTCCAAATTTGCACCGACGTGGAATTCTAAGATGGTGGTATTAGAGCTCCGCCGAATAAATATTTCATAGATTGGAGAGATACGTCATATTACAAATAAAAGATCGACGTGACGCGAGGAGGAGATAATGGAGATCGATCGTCTCGGTATCGTATCGATGATACCATTAACGCGAAGCGAGTTAGGTGGCAAAGAGAAAATAGGCTACGATGAATCATTTTGTTGTTTTTTTTTTTTTTTTTTTCGTTCTATATACACTTCGGTGCGCGAAAACGCAGAATAGGAAATTATTTTACGGTTCGCGTCGGGGGTCGTTCGATTTGTTTCCCTTTCTGCTACTAGCATTTCGCCTATGACGGTTGTCACACATTAATTTTACTCGCGTGGGCATTTTATCAATAGAATTCCAAAACGAATATCGAATATCGTGTTTTTGGCACTCGAAATAGTTACGTGAAATCACACATGCAGAAAAAAGTAATCGTCCTAGATAAAAATATGAGTTGACATTTTTGACAAACCTTTTTAAGCGCTTTAAAAAAATTAAAAGAAAAATTATATTTTTTTTCAAAATGTAAAACGTTTATCGAGAATGCGATATTGATAAAAAAGAGGAATTAATACTCGCGCGAGCGAGTATTTATTTAATGAAAAATGTGTTCTTCGTGCAATATATATAAGACGTCCATCTTTTTGAACGATAATGATTCGTACGATCCTTACCTTGTTCGTTTGATTGTCGAGCCTCTTGCCATCCATGTACCAAGACAGCTCGGCCGGCGGCCTTGAACCGACTGTCATGCAGTTGATGTCGTACTTCCGATTCGCGCTTAGGGGCGCGTGTTCGCTGCTGAGTATCGTCACGCTCAAGGGCCTCACTGAAACACGAAGAGAATCGAGGTCGATCACAAGTGTGGACCACGTGAATGGCGCGCGGACGTTGATGGACGCTCGATCAAAAAGCACGAACAAGAATTGCGGCAGCTGCGGAATTGCGGTGCTTAGAGCGGCTACGGACTTGCACCACCGTCCGCCCGCTCCCTAATGCGTTTTAAACGAGTGGTACCACGCTACAGTTACCACCCCTGAACGTATTGCCGCAAAACCTACACCCTGATAGCCTCGGGGAGGCAGCAGTGGCGCGCTACCTTCGAACCGCGCCTCTCATAGATTAAGGACTGGGTGGGCGTTTTACGTTGATTAATTGAGCCAAGTATTGAATAGTGCACAGACAAAATGGAGTTAAACATCAATCTTTAACCTAATCTAGGGCTATTGCAGAATTAACTGCCAGTGCGATAACAACGTGCAACGTTGCAAGTCCTCGCTGTCGTCTCTTTGCAATCGTATTAGTACAATTTTCTTTCGAATCGATATTAGTAACACTTTCTTTCAAGTATAATAGTAGGGGATGATTGACAGAAATACAAATCTTGCAAGAGTTGATGAATAAATAATTAATAGTAAAATTGAAAAATATTAGCTTTCAATATTAGAAATGTTTTAATGAAGACATATATGAATACATTGAACAAAAGGAGATTGCTCGGAACATATATATACGCTCAATGTTTACGAGACATTAAATTGCCTCTTGCAAGAGCGTCACGGTAAGTGTCACGGTATTGACATCTCGACGACGTGGATAAAAGTGCCGATATAGTCGCCCGATTCAACCGCGAAATAAGTCTCGGTTGAATCACCCACACCCCGACATCTTTCCATCGAATTTAATCGTCAACGGCTCGGCAAAGGAACGTCTTTCTTCGCTACGTCGGGGAACGAAAAAAAGTGCGAGTGCGACGACGAACGTAGTTCGGCATAAGTAACGTAGAAAGAGAAAGAGAGAGAGAGAGATTTTTCATTCAACTCGCACACCACCGCTTCAGGGAGAGAGTCTGGAATTAAACTTTCAGTACGCCGAACTTTTGACTCCAATGAAAAATTCTTCTCTCTTCCTTCCTTTCGCCGCGCGCGTCCACCATTACCTTCACCTTCGCTAACCTTAATCTACCGACTAGAATCTCGTCGTGTTCAATCGGCATATTGGTGCTAAAAGCACGATTACCGGCATAAGCCGCCGGTACTCAAGCGTCTATACAATCGCGTTGCATATTCGCATCACGCAATTCTGTGTTTATGCGGTAAACTCGGCTTCGTAATTCCGTCTTCAACACGCTATTCAATTCTCTGATCTTGAAATCTGTGTGTTTAAAATGTCATTAGATGGTCTTCAATATCTTTCCAACGTTTTTATTTTATTCGCGCGATTTCTCATTTGTACTTGATAATTTTGTTGATCTCACGTGTTCTTAAATTTGTGCGAATTAATGAAAATTAATATTATCTTTCCCTTCTTTTCACTCGTTATGATGACTCTGCCTCCTCTTTTTCTCATGTTTATTATTTCGTTATTACGAATAAAGCAACGCGTGCACATTTTTTTTTTTTGCTTTTTCGTCATTACGTGAGTGGACTAGGCGAAAAGACGTGACTAGGAACAACATTCTTCTCACGTTGTATAAACGTTCGTCCGCTTTTTCGCGGGCTGTATTGTAAGCCCTCGACGGATAGTCATGACGAACGAAGGGTTGTGCGAAAAAGTGCGTCAGTGTCCATTAGATGATCCACTGAATGTCCAGCGAGCATGTGAACGCATCACGATCACATCTCGCCGATGGTCTAATGGGTGCCTGATGGATGACGCGAAGCAGATTTATACAAATAATACTTCCAGCGAATATGCGTTTCTCATTTTTATTGCATTTTTTTTTTAGATTAATAAATTGTACGAATAAAAAATATTTCTTGATATTCTCATATTTTTCGAGATGCATTACACGTCTATAAATAATAACGAGAATCATTAATTTTAAACGAAATGATTATTTAAATTCTACTAAATTCTCAAATTTAATATTAAATTAATAATTGAAGTAACATATAATCTCGCGAAAGACTTCGTTTAGAAAATGTATTATTATAGTTTAGTTTGTAAGGTAATAAGAGAGCTTAAATTCTTTTATTGCGTATTGAACTGTATTATACTTTTTTTCAGTCGGGGAATTCAGTGCAATTTTCATAATGAATCCGTATCTTGAACGAAACAGAAATAAGACTTTATCTCGTTTTATTTCGCGAAATAAAATTTTAATTGGAGCTCGTTGAAGAAGAAAATAAACTATTACAAGAAACCGATAATACAACGGCAAGTAATCTATCGGTATAAAATTTATTCTATATTATAAAGAATACTGATAATTTTCATTCTGACAATTACTATTTTTATACAGGGTGTCTGGCATAAAGTATTACATCAGAAATAGACGACAAGTAGATGTCGTTATTTAGAGACGATTTTTTCTCAGCAAAAATATCGAGAGAGGCCATCATTTTTTTGCACGTTCACAATTTTTGCCATTATGTATCTTTATAATTAAACCTTAAATTAAAATTTCATTAAAGTAAACTCCACTTGAAATTAATTGGAGAATATAATTTTGTTAATATTTTATTTCCACAAGGCTTTATTTGCGAAGAGCCTTTTACATTCAATCGCTTATAACTCGAAAATTATTGACGCGTCAATATTTTTGCCGAGGAAAAATTGTCTCCAAATAACAAGATCTACTTGTATATTTTCGGTTGTGACACCTCGTATATGTGTAAGTACCCGGAGGTGCTTAGACAGACAAATTGTAAATAATGCCAATAAGATGCCATCAAATACGATCGTTCTTTGGGATTGTCGACGATCGCGAAAGGATTCGATGCAGTTCGGATAAGAGGCAGAGGAACGACGGAATAAAAACGGTACTAACGAGATCGGGAGTGGAAAAAAAAAGGGTTAAAGAGAAAGGATGGAGAACAGAACGAAAGAGAGTGTTAGAGGGAAAGATAGAGCAGCCGGGTAACGAACGAGCGGACGAGGTTGAACTTATTGCTATCGCGAATTGAAAATACGTCCGTGCTTAATCCGGTGGGGGCTTACGGTCGCGCGTTTGCATATCCCGGTCGCCTGCTCTTCTGTCCGGATATCCCGGTAGCTACCCTCGCCTCGGTATAGTTTTTGGTGAGAGTCCGCGCCGCGCCACATCGCCCGTTACTCTCTATGTTTATTCGTATCTCGCTTTATTACGTTTCCGGATTAATGCAAAGTTACAGACAAAAAGATTGTAGATAATAAATGTACGGGCTGTATGTGTGTGTGTGTATGTGCCATGCACTGAATAAAAACAGAGAGCGTATCCGGCCAAATAATGTTACATAGATGGACCCACAAACAGAGAGGTTCTCGCTTCGTTTCTCCCTTTTTTACCACATCACGAAAAATGCAACACGATGCCCCTTTAATGCGAGTCTGAACAGCAACATGTGTCATTTCAAACAGGCAGATGTTCTAAACATAACACATACGTGTTAAATTATCTCTATTCAAGGCGTGTGTTAAACTTTGTCGTTTAAGAAACAAGAGATATCGAAAGATACTTCAAAATTCAATATATACATCTTTTCTAATAAGCTGTAGCATTGCAAAACATGTGTCTTAAGTCAAATTCATCATTTTATATATTTAAAAAATTTATGAATTAAATATTATATAGTTCATTAAAATTAAATACACGACATATAGAAGTAATAATGAACCGTAATAATAAAAAACCAATAAAAGCTCAAGAATTGAGGAAAGAAATTATTTTTTTTTATCGAGCTACATTTTAGATGAAAATTGTTAAATGAAATGAGTGCACTATCGCTTTTTACATCACGTAAAACGTATATGACTATGATGAGTGTAATTAGCATCGAAGTTTGCGGAACTGCGATATTACATTGTGCGCATTGGCGCTCTAATGAGTAACTCCGGGCAACGCGCCGTGTGTAAATTTGTTGGTCGACTTCTGTACATTAGTAGTAACGGACGGAAGGACGCTAATGAGTAGGCGAGACGGACGACGTGGACGCTGTTTGAATAGGGCGCAAGACAAAGTTAACTCGAACTGGATAGTAGATGAAGAGTCTGCGAAATATATATATATATATATAGCGCGAGACTACGACGGACGAAATGAACGGCGATGGATTTTTTATTTGCAAGAAATCGCCTCTTTGTGATTTCAATCGTCCAAAAGCGCGTCCTGTAACATCCAAAGTCCTCTCTTGCGGAAAAACTCGAGCGAGATAACGAGATATTATATGCACGAGTTTGACGCGCGAAAGTCGTTCGCGAATGACGTCACGGCCGCGCTTTTATTTGCGTTCATTAGCAATTGCATCGTGTTATGAAACTTTATATAACGGCGATCGAAAACAGCGGTGTTTCTAGAAACTTTGTTCAATGGCCGAGTTCCGTAAACCAATTATCCGTTATTTCGTCCGTGAAATGATTGCGGCCGCGCTTGTATAAGTTTCCCGCGGATCGACGCGTATCGACGTGTTGCGCGTGCGTAATTTATTTATCTCGTAGTATATATTTTCACGGTGTATATAATGCGCACCCGCGCGTTGCGTTCTAATAAATCGAATTAATTTGAGAATTTCGTGTGGGAACTTTGTTGAACTACGACGCGTACAAACGCTTGTAATCCATTCTGATTCTAAACCTTGACGTTATTGCGAAAGCATTCGGATTTCTCGTACAATTCGACGAATTTTATAATGCGATATTTTCAACAAAATCAGGACAACAATAACGCAGCGGTCGATCAGCTGACAATGACAGATCTGACGTGAAAAAGTTTGGATAAATTCCATTTTTCTTTAATTCCACGCTCTCCCCGAACAACATTTATCCCTTTCGACGATGATCATCAATAACATTAATCAAGAACGTTTTCCCGCTACGCCAGCATGTCGCTCGACAGCGGTCCGACTTCAT